TCAAGTTTCCACCCTTACCATTCAACCCTCAGAATTTTAGTCTTATGATTTTTTCGCCCCTTTCCATTATTGCGATTTGACCCTTACAATTTTACTCTTCAGATTTTACCCTTATGATTCCACCCCTATGATTCCATTCTCATCATCTCACCCTTACGACTTAACCCTTACAGTTACACCAACGGCTGGAGCCCAATGACCAAGCTCCGGGCCACCGCTGGCTGAGGCTTGGTTATCGAGCTCCGGCATGCCAATGTCCGGCCAAGGCTGGGCCAGATCTGTCAACCAAGGCTCGGTTACCTGCCCTTCTCCCGAGACTCAAGCCCTGGTCCCCAGGGATGGCCGAACCTCGGTCCAAGCCTGGGCGCCCAGGCTTGGCAAGCCCAGGCTTGTGCCAGGCTTGGCCCGTTTCTCCAACACTGGCATTTCGTACGTGGGAATACGATGCGAAATGCCAAATGTTGCAAATAATTTATTATAACGCTGTCTTGTTCGTTTAGTTGTTATTTTAGTCATTGTGGATATCTATGGACATTTTGAGTGCGCATCGATAATTGATAAAAAATTCGCACCCAGGAATGGCTCAATATCCTCTGCCATGGTTTTCCTACACGCACGAAAAAATTTAATAAAAAAATCTATCGAATTCGTTAGAAAAGTCTATTGAATGTCTGTTAAACTTTCTATTAGTTTTTGGCTGATTCTATTGACATCCCACGTACGAAATGCCAGTGTTGGAGAAATGGGCCAAGCCTGGCACAAGCCTGGGCTTGCCAAGCCTGGGCGCCCAGGCTTGGACCGAGGTTCGGCCATCCCTGGGGACCAGGGCTTGAGTCTCGGGAGAAGGGCAGGTAACCGAGCCTTGGTTGACAGATCTGGCCCAGCCTTGGCCGGACATTGGCATGACGGAGCTCGATAACCAAGCCTCAGCCAGCGGTGGCCCGGAGCTTGGTCATTGGGCTTCAGCCGTTCGTGTAATTGTAAGGGTTAAGTCGTAAGGGTGAGATGATGAGAATGGAATCATAGGGGTGGAATCATAAGGGTAAAATCTGAAGAGTAAAATTGTAAGGGTCAAATCGCAATAATGGAAAGGGGCGAAAAAATCATAAGATTGACATTCTGAGGGTTGAATGGTAAGGGCGGAAACTTGAGGGTAAAATATTAAGGGTGTAATCGTAAAAAAATGGTGACATTGTAGGTGTTGAAGTCACATGTTACTCGCTAATTATTACGAAAAGAAGAAGAATCGTCATTCAACAGTAATCCTAATTGTTATAATTATTATTGTAATTAATAATAATAATTATTATTATTCATTATTGAATTAATTTACCGATTAAACTGTAGTTGAATCACTTAATATTTCTATCAACTGAATAATAAAACATTCAAGTCGAAAAAAACCGAGATGGAATTAATATGG